CTTTCAGAGGGGAATTAACAGGAGATAAGTGAAATAACTGACATACATTAAACATGGCATGTGGAACTAGAACAGTCTACCCCAGCAAGTGAAATAAAGGGTTCAGTTTGACATTCCAACCACCTGAAGAAGGCTGGAGTGTACAACGGCCAGAACGTTGTGATGAATATGGCAACAAAGATGAGGATGATAGTCTGAACAATGTAAATAGTGTACATAATACCTCATCTCAGAAATATAGACAGGTATTGATGTATTTGTTTAATAAATTTTATCCTTACATAAACAGTATATCATAGTAATAATAAAATCCACAAGCAGAGTCCAGTGATACAAAGCTTGGGGATAAAAGTGTTGGGCAGAGCAGTTTATTACATACATCTTAAGATTAGGAATGCTAATGAACTTATTGGTCAAATATATTGAGGATATTAATCCGAATAATCCATAGAGTAGCAACAATAATTTATTTCAATAATGTTAGAGAATATATATATAGAGAATATAGAGTATATTATAATTATCTGATTCTGTATATCTGTGTGTTTGCAATCATAATACAGTAAAAACAGCACACCATTGTGTAAATTTTGTTAGAGTAATACCGGTTAAGTGGAGAATAATGCAATTTTAACTTGGTGAACAAAGCAATTTTAATTCCCAAAAGGCCATTGGTTTCTCAGTAATTTTTAATTAAGTATAAGTTATATGTCTCCAAGGGTGATAACTTTATGTTTATTAACTGCTAATTACAGAGTTATTTTTTTTAGTAAGACACCTGAGAGCTAAGTTCGAATTCCAGTCAAGTTTGTTGCATTCACACCTTAGAAAGGTAAGAATCCATTTCTTCTCTCCCCACAACTGTGGGTTAAATAGTAGGACTTGTATCTGGGAAATCATTGTTATCCTCAAAGAATTGTCAATGCAATATCCACTTGCAAAAAAAGAAAAAAAATTATTCTTGTAATTCAAAAAATGTTTTTGATTTTAATAATCCACAAAGGGTTCATTAGTCATAAAAAACAAATCAACCAGTCAATCTCAATAAGAAAATAAGAGGAATAAGTTGGGAAATATTCTTGATTTATCTGAATTTTTTTCTATTAGCCATAGTGGCATGCTAACGAAAATGCTTTAACAATAATAAAGCTTAGTTGTAAACAGGAAATAATTATAAATTCTAGATGTAGGAAGTGACTTTATATCAAGCAGTAGCTGTTGAAAGTTGTATTTAAACATACAATATTATGAATAAAATGTAAGATTTTGATATACAAGAGCAAAATATATTGAATATAAAGAACATTATTAAAACCGAAATATGCATTTCTAATTATGATAAAGGATCCATTGTAATCACAATCCATGAAATATTTTAGAAAATGGTTGATACTGTTATAAGTAAGCAAAGAACAGACCTCAAAATGGCATCATTTCTGGTTTTTTGTTAATTCATATAGGATTCATTTATCAAATTTTTCCCACTTTTCCTATTGAATCTAAATCCAAACAAACAGTCTGATAAGAAAGTCCAAGATTAACTTCCTCGAGCACAAAATATTTTGAATTTTTGATGCAATTATGTTCAATCATCGTTTAGAGTGTGCAAATGAATGCAGGGACGTTCAAATGTTTTTTTTTTTTACAGTAAGGTTCACTCTATACAAGGTAGAGGGTTATATTAAAGGGTAGTTTATATGAATAGGAGGGGAAGATAATGGTTAACTCTAGACATGGACAGGTTAAGAGAGTAGCGATCAGGGAAACATCCTCTTGGGAGTTGGTTCCAAAGTTCACTGGTTCATGGGAAGAAGCTGTTCGAGTGGAACTTACTTCTCACTGATGAGATAGGCAGGGAATGTGGGTAGTTTGCAACTATGTAAGTGGTATGGTGGGTCCTAGCTGTGAAGGTTAGACCTGGCAGAACCAAGGAATGTTCATCCAAGCACTTTCCATGGGAGTAGCAATAGAGCAGTGGGAGACTCACCATATCCTGCCTGTAAGAGAGAGAGGTTGGAGGGTGGAAAATAATTCTCCTCCAATAAGGATTCAGAGACACTTTTGAACTCAAGACTAGAGAATGAGGACTGGGCAGCTCTCGCCTAAATATGGCAACAGTACTCCATTTTAGGCCTGATCTGGCTTTTATAAAGGTAGAGAATAGCATAACAAGTTAGATAATTACTGGAGTGGTATAGGGAGCCAATCATTTTACTTGCATTTTTAGCGATGAATAGCTGGACATTTTTCTTTGCTTTTAGTGACTCAATCTGGTTTCCAGGTGGTCTGGATAAAATAAACTATGATTTACTTAACCTGAAAAACAGCTTCTAGTGTTCACACCATTTGTTTGTATTATCAAACCAATGTGATTTCTTTCTTTCTTTATTTTTTTAAAATCATTTCACCCCAGGCAAGACAGGAATGCCACTAGTACACAGGGGATTACAGAGAGTGAAGGTGAGAGAAAAGACTGGGTATAGTGGGGACTGGGGAAAGGATAAAAGCTGAACGGGGTTCAAGAAGATAGTAGATGGTGATTGATGTTGCATTTAAATTTTTGAAGACTGTAGTTATCAGTGAAACAAGTATATGGAAGGGAATTCCACAGGCAGGAAGTGCGAGAAAAGAAACTGTTGGAGTAAAAATGGCGTTTAACTAATTCAACAATAAAAGGGTGGGTTCTAGATGCCAATCTAGTAGCATGCTTAAACTCATGTAGTCAGGGAACCAGGGTAAAAAGCACATCAGAGCAGTAGCCATGAAAATATTTGTAGAAAAGACAGAGGGAAGCCACATCACATCTGAAGTTGAGAAGTCAGGATTCATTACATTGAAAATCCTTCTTTGGATTTTGTCAAGAAATTCGATAATTTATTTTTTGTATGTGGTACTTTCTCATCTTCAAACTGAATTTCTTTATACAAGAAAATCGACACAAATCTATTTACATTTATATCAAATCCTATCATAGATTATGTACAGATAGCAAAGTAGATGTTTGTATGTTTCTTGGTTTCATTAGCTGGGTGTTCTACAGGTGGACAATAACCCTATATGTTTGTAAAAAGAAGATTTCATCTTTTGTCTTTCTTTTTATTTATATATAAAGCTTAAAACTAATCATAAGATGGAAAATGTGTTATTACTTTCATTTTAATTTTCATAGTTATTAATGTTAACTAACAAAACCCAAAGCCACAGTTGCATGTCATCCTGGATATTATTCTTATCTTCAGAATTTTGTATATTATTAAATTCTTTGTACTTCTTTTGAAAGTATTATACTTTCAATATACTTATTTTTTATTAATGAAAGTATTGTTTATACAAATCACTGTAATTTTTCAGCAATTAATGGATTTTTTAATCTAAAATTTTTTTTTTTTTTACTATTGTAAGTGAATAAATACTTAACACCAGGTGGTTTGGTTTATTTTGTTTTACGACATATCAAGCTCAATGGGTTATTTAATGCCGGCAACATTTTTAGGAGAGATTCATATGAATGGAATATGTATTCTTTGGTTTAGATTGGTTTGGTTTATTTTGTTTTACTGCATATCAAGAATCAATGGGTTATTTAATGCCGACAACATTTTTAGGAGAGATTCATATGAATGGAATATGTATTCTTTGGTTTAGATTGGTTTGGTTTATTTTGTTTTACAGCATATCAAGAATCAATGGGTTATTTAATGCCGACAACTTTTTTTTTTCCCTGGTAATATTTTGTTTTGTCAAAAATCTATTTCTGGTAATATTTTTTTCCTCAAAAATGTATAGCTAGTAATATTATTTTAAAACAGGTATTGCTGGTAATATTTTTTTTCAAAAATATATTTCTGGTAATAGTTTTTTTTCTTCAAAAATTTATTTCTGGTAATAATTTACTTCAGGTATTAAAACCTATTTTTACACTTTTATAATGCTTTTTACCTCAGTTTCGGGGTTAACTATTTACCCATAGCTGGGACACTAACAGGTGCTACCATCCCGGGTCAGGGTGAGCCTGGGAACACCAGCAATTAAGAGTTGGTTTCACGCTGCTCCTGATCAGAGGCCTTGCTGTTGGACGTTGTTTATTGTCTTACCCAGGATGTGGATGTAGTTTAACGTCATACCCAGAACGAACACCAGGTGGATAATAGAAGAAAGGTTTATTGTACACAACCAGTACAATATGAAATATGGTACAGTTATACACACAGGTCAATCTAGTAGTGAGTGCCACTAATTGGAAGGCCAGACGTGTTTGCGTCCTCATGCTCTCACTTTTCCTGCAGTCTCGTAGACAGTTGACTTTATAGGTACTTACTACCTATAATGTAATCATTCATGGGGGTGACTGGTTATTCCATTACATCAACTATAAACACTATATTTAATGAGTACGTGTGTTTAAGTAACATCTTAATTTTTTTTTAATTAGTGAAATTAATGTCTACCAGCCTAGAGATTAATAATTCTTACTAAAGATAATGTACTGTCTGATAGGAATCAAAAGTAATTGTTCAGCAATTAATGGATTTTTAATCTGTTATTATTATTTTTTACTATACTCTATATTTAATGGGTATATGTGTTTGAGTAGACATCCTAATTTCTTTTTTAATTAGTGAAATTAATGTCTATCAGCATAGAGATTGAGAAGTCTTATTCAAGACAATGTACCTCCTGATAGGAATTTTAATTAATTTGTAAGCAAGTAATGGACTTTTTAATCTGACATTATTTCTTATTCCTATAAAATATACTATCATATATAGTGTGCACATGTGTTTGAGTTGGCAGGGATATTTACTCAAATACATGTACCTGTTAAATATAATATTTGTAGTAGTAAGAAACACATCTCTGTTATTTTAAGAAATCTTTTCATCTTGAATGAACTGCGGATATAATTCACTAACAAGAAATTATTAATTTACAGAAAAGAAAAATTTATCTTTTCATGTATTTATTTCTTGCAGATCAATTTTCCTAATAAACTCCACAAAATGTCAGGAAAATACCTGGATACAGATGTAATTACACCAAAACCCAAAGGTATGGGCAATTTATATAAATATGAGATTTGAAGATGTTTTATTCTCAAGGATTGTTGCTATTTAAAACATTGTGCCATTTCTAAAGTTTCTTTTCTTTCTGAAATTTTCAATTAAATTCTTAAAATTCAGTAATGATATTTTTCGTTACTACTCATATCTGATTTATTTAAAAAATATTACACCTATAATAATCCTATTGTAATGATAATTATTAAATATGTACCAATTAAAAATATTACACCTATAATAATCCTATTGTAATGATAATTATTAAATATGTACCAATTAAAAAATATTACACCTATAATAATCCTATTGTAATGATAATTATTAAATATGTACCAATTAAAAAATATTACACCTATAATAATCCTATTGTAATGATAATTATTAAATATGTACCAATTAAAAAATATTACACCTATAATAATCCTATTGTAATGATAATTATTACATGTATACTGATTAAAAAATATTACACCTATAATAATCCTATTGTAATGATAATTATTAAATATGTACCAATTAAAAAATATTACACCTATAATAATCCTATTGTAATGATAATTATTAAATATGTACCAATTAAAAATATTACACCTATAATAATCCTATTGTAATGATAATTATTAAATATGTACCAGTTAAAAAATATTACACCTATAATAATCTTATTGTAATGATAATTATTACATGTATACTGATTAAAAAAATATTACACCTATAATAATCCTATTGTAATGATATCATAAAATCGAGTATAACAAAAATAAGTATAATAAGATTATTATAGGTGTATTAATTCCTGACCACTGACAGTCCTTTTTTCCTGATTTTTCCATCCAGTTCTATAATCAAATAATTAACAATGTATTTCTACTAAAAAATCACTAGTAATGCATTTACTTTATACATTAAATAGTAAAATAATTACATCAATTTTTAGCGGCTAACAACAACTTTCTTCCTCATTTTCAGTGCATTACTATAATTAATTTACAATGTATTTCTATGTGAAAATAAATGTTTACATATAATAACATTTTTTTCTTAGCTATGCTTGGATTAATTCCTGACAATTCTTTTTGTCCTAATTTTTAATTTATTTTTGATAATCAAATAAGTTACATTTTATTTCTATAGTAAAAGGGGACAAGTTATCAACCATAAAAGGCTTTAGCCAATTCCAAGCAGTATAAGTATTGGTTGGTTGATTGTTTTGCGGCATATCAGGTTCTATTTAATGCTGAAATCTGAATATTTTGAATGCAGTTGTATGCCCTTAACAAAATGTTTAGTTAGTTATTTTGATATAAAATATATTGTTGGTAATTTTTTTTTTTTTACAGTAAGTTTCACCCTTTACAAGGCCTATGGGCCACTTGAGGTCAGTCAGTTATGTGCCATGCGTGATACATGCTTAGGTGATCATGTATCTTTTGATACATGACTAATGAGGCAGATTTTTTCCTGCAGTAGGTTGCCATTTCTTTCTGTGGTAGACCAATTGCCATCCAAGGCTATAAAACCTGGTCTGTTCTGCTATTTACCCATAGTTTGGGTGGGGGGAAGGATTCATACCTTTCCCAAGGGTATTAGCATGTAAGTGAATGTAATAGATTTGACTGGAATTTGAACTCAGTTCTCTGATTCCTAAATCCAAGCTGCTATCCATTACTCCACTGTGCCTTCACTACAGGTAGAGAGTTACATTAAGAGGCTGTTTATAAAGATAGGAGAGTAAGATAACTGCTAACCCTAGACTTGAACAAGTTAAGATTATAGTGATCGGGGAAACAATCTCTTGGGAGTTGGTTCCATAGAGTAGGGGTTCATGAAAAGAAGCTGTTTGAGTGGAACTTCTCACTGATAACATCATGAAGTCACCTTCGTAACAAATTTACCAAGGTGGGATATGAAACTAGATCTCATGGTGAGAAAGTAAACATTTTAACCACTTGCCTATGTGCTACCTCGGAGGCACTGTGGAGTAATGGATAGAGGCTTGGACAGGAGAATCCGAGTTCGAATTCCAGTCGAATCCATTCACTTACAGGCTAATACCTTTGGGAAAAGCATTGGGTAAATAGCAGGACAGACTGGGTTCTATAGCCTTGGATGGCAACTGGTCTACTGCAGAAAGAAATGACAACTTACTGCAGAAAAAAATCTGCCTTGTCAGTCATGTATTGAAAGATACATGATCACCTAAGCATGTATCACGCATGGCACATAACTTACTGATGTGCTACTGGAGTCATAAATAGTTTGACCTGAAATAAGCATTGGGGTAAAGAGTTATAATGAAAATATTTTTAATACAATCTAATATTTGATGTGGATTTTGCTTTTCAGGTTGCATAAAGGTCAGATATATTTTAGTGGCAATGATATTTTGGGGATTCTTGATGGAATATTCTCTCCGAATTAACCTAAGTGTGGCTTTGGTTGCCATGGTGAATATTACCAGCACTAAACTGGACTCCAGCAACAACATCACAGAGTGCCCTGAAAATCTGGAGACATTTAATGCCACTCATGAAATATATAAGGTAAGGAGTTTGAAAATTTCCTTAGTATTCCATGTTAATTCTGTTTAAATGATATCAGGTCATCCCATAAGTTCTGTCCGAATTTTGAATAAAGAAAACAAGTGACCAAATGTTACATTTAATTACAGATTCAATCAACAATGTATTTTCCCTGATTATCTATGACTTCCTTCCATCTATTAACAAGCTTACTAATTCCATTGCTATAAAATTCTTTTGGCTTTGATTCGAAGAACTCGCAAATGTCAGTTTTAACCTCTTCCTGTGTTACAAAAGTTGTTTCTTCCAAATGATTCATTAAGCTACGAAACAAATGGTAGTCTGAAGGAGCAAGATTGGGAGAATAAGGTGGATGAGGAATTTTCTCCCAACCAAGTTCTTTGATCTTTTGTGACGTGTTTCTTGCTGTGTGGGGTCGCGCATTGTCCTGATGAAACATCACCTCTTTTCGATTCACTAGAGCAGGTCTTTTTTCTTCAAAGCTTGGTTCAAATGCTCTAATTGCTGACAGTATATTTGAGCATTAATTGTTGCATTAGGTGGTAAGAATTCAAAGTGGATTATTCCTTGGTGATCCCACCAGTTTGAAAGAAGAACCTTTTGCCCATGAAGTTCCCTTCTCGGCTGTGGCTGGGGTCCTTCCCCTTTACCAAACCACTGTTTACGATGCTTAACATTTCGATAAAAGATCCATTTTTCGTCGCCAGTCACAAGTTTATCCAAAAAAAGTGAAACAAGTTGGCGAGAATGGAAAGAAGAGCAGATATCAACTCAAGATTTGAGGTTGTTTTCAGGCAATTCATGAGGCACCCATTTTCCAAGTTTAGGAACTTTTCCAAGTTGTTGAAGATGACTATGAACAGTTGTATGGTTTGAACTGAGAACCACTGCCAATTCCTCAACTGATAAAGCAGGATTTTCTTCATGGTCTGCTTCAAGAAGCTTTTCATTAAACTCAACTGGACGTCCGGTTCGATCTTCATCTTCAAGGATGAAATCTCCACCTCTGAATTTTGCAAACCATCTTCTGCAAGTTCTTTCATTCACACATTCCCTCCATAAACTGAATGAATGTTTCTAGCCGCTTTGGCTGCTGAGTTTCCTTTCTTGAACTCATAAAGTGTTATGTGCCTCAAATGATTCTTGGGTACTTGTATGTTAGCAGGGTTTTAATCAAACAAAATTTAATTTTATTGTTCTCTGAAATAAAATTTCATCAGTTTAAATGCATCTGAACATAAAAAATAATGTTCAGCTCCATTAGACATTATAAAATACTCTTTAAATTTCATTCATTTTAAAAAAGGTAAAATTCGGACAGAACTTATGGGATGACCTGATATTTCTACAGCTAGTCAGTCAAGGGCCATATGTGATACATGCTTGGGTGATCATGTATCAAAAGATACATGACTAACAAGGCAGTTTTTTCCCTGCAATAGGTTGTCATTTCTTTCTGCGGTAGACTGGTTACCAACCAAGGCTAAAGAACCTAGTCTGTCCTGCTATTCAGCCCATAGCTAGTGGGAGAAGAGATGGATTCAAGGGTATTTGTGTGTAAGTGGATTTAACGAACTTCACTGAAATTCAAACTCGGCTCTCCAAGTTCTCACTCTGAGCTGATATCCATTACACCACAAAGTACATTTCTGCAGTACATGTCTACAATATGTAATGTATCCAGACAGGAACTTTGAGAAAACCCTGATATCATAGTTAGGAAAGGTGGTAAATCTAATATTTTTGTTATTATTTTTTTGTTACTTTTTGTTATTATTTTTTTTGTTATTATTTTTATAATTATTGTTTTTAGTCAGTTCATCTCAAGCAAATTAATTTTTCAAAGAATTGAACTCTTTTCCTTAAAAATCACATCTAGTTTTATCTTGGATACAGTATGCTATTTGCCATTCTCTTCATCCAGGGCACCATGGTAGGGACTTCCTGGAACTAAGAACTGAGCAGAAGACTAAATAAACTGAGTGACAGCACTTCAAACAATAGAAAAGTTCATACTGATGAGAAATTTCAATAAACTTAAATAATGCCTAAAGGTTAAATCCACTTTGGCAGGAAAGGAGACAAGCCTGCTACTGCTTAGAACACATCCATTAAGCTGAGGAACGGGAGTCGAATATCTTCACAAATTTGTTAGCTATGGATGGTGAGTTCAATCCTTGGTAGGATAACAAGAGTCAGTATAGCTAACATTTATGGTCTCAGTCTAAGACAATGCTGTGTCATTTTTTTAAAAAATCATTTCACCCCAAGCAAGGCAATAAAGCCACTAAAACACAAGGGGTTACTGAGTGTGGAAGACTACGAGAAAAAGAAAACTTTATTAAGAAGAGGGAACAATAAAAGAACAGGAATTAAGAATATAGAAGATAACAATTGCATTTAAACTTTTGAAGATGAAAATTTATTGGAAAGCAAGAAGAGTCCAGAAGAGAATTCCACAAGAGAAGAAACTGTTAGCATAGAACTTATGGTTACAGCTAGCCATTGCTACTGTTGCTTGCTGCTAAATCTCATGTTGTGAAGGCATTGAGCCCATGAGAACCATCTGGTCCTTCTAGCTCTTACAATCTTGGCAGAGTGTTGGAACATCCTCCAGCACCAGATTAATCTGCTGAAGGTCCTGGTAGATGATGTCCGTCAAGTGGCTGAATGGTCGGCTGCAAGGTTGTTACTAATTTGCAGATGGTGATATCAAGTTAAATGGCTCAAATGTATATTTACTACCTAGCACAAGTATTGAACTGATAGCCTTCAATTAATGTAAAACTGTTCCACCTTCAGTTGAAATCGGTTCTACCCATATGTGTTCTATATAAACTTATTTTTTTTCCACTGGAGAGATAAAAAATCCATTTGCCTTTGGCTGGGATTTATCTTTTGTTTTTAACCCAAGCCTCCAAGCCTCCTCCAGGTTTTACCTCTCTCGAGAGAGGGAGCTAAGTTTATTGCTTGGCACCAGTGGCATACTCAAAAAGGGAAGTGCTGAGGGGTTGTGGGAATTTTTCCATGGTACTGCTGAGAAACCCACCTTAAACTGACCTTGTGTCACATCAGGTTGTGAGGTGGGCATGCTGGTAAATACCTATAAAATACATTTGCCTTTGGCTGGGATTTATATTTTGATTTTAACCCAAGCCCCAGGGGGCCATCTCCCAAGCTTTACCTCTCCCTTGGGAAGGGACTGAGTTTATTGCCCAGCATTCCCAAAAATGGAAGTGCTGAGGATGTTGGGAATTTTTCCATGGTACTGCCAAGAAAGGCACCTTAAAATGACCATGTGTCGCATCTGTTGCATGGTTGATGCACTGGTAAATACCTATAAAATCCATTTGAGACACCTCGACATGGTGTAATGGTTAGCAAGCTTGTCTCTCTAGAACAATTATGGCTGAGTACTGGGTTTGATCCTCACTGGGTGCCCCATACTTTCAGCCTTGTGCCACATTCAAACTACTCTTAGAAAATTTCTATGAAATCCATTTGCCTTTGGCTGGGATAATTATTTTGATTTTAACCCAAGCCTTAGGATGCTTTCTTCCCTCCTTTCTTTGGGAGGAGGCTAGTTTTATTGCTCAGTGCTTGAGGCATCCCCATAAGGGTAAGTGTTGAGTGGGGTTTACGGCTTTTTGTGTGGAATTTGCTGTTAAACTCACTTTAAACCTCAACATTGTGTCACACCTGTTTGCTATATGGGTGCCCTGGTGAATACTATGAAAACTATTTGCCTGGTAAAGTTGTATCAGATCAACAGGTGGGTGAACTGGGAGTTGACTTTTGTCAAAATTGTAGATAAACATGAACTTTTGACAGCTTATAAAACGTCTTTTCATTTTTTTTACAGATCTTTAAGCTTATTTCATCTCTCCCTCTCTCTCTCTCTCTATCTATCTATCTATCTATATATATAGCGAGACTCTTCGCAGATGTGAATTGAGTCATTGTCGGTCACTGGGTGTGTTTCTAAAAATAAATACGCTAAAAATCCACTTTCATCCCTACTGTGCGCCGACGGCTTAATGGTTAGAATATCCGACTGACACCAATTCAGTCGGGTTTCGATCCTAGCTAGAGGCAACCGGATGTCTAGCCACACTGATGAGCTGTGAAACAGTCTGTCTGTGGATGACGTTATATATATATATATATATAAAATATGTTTGTTAAATTTTCATAGAAAATATGCGGGCTCCAAAAATTTCTCAGACATTCAGGCCAGTAAATGTTGTTAATACTGTTTATTATAAACAGAGCATTTACTTAAATATTTGTATCTATAAAAAAGAATGTATGAACATAAAAAATGTCTTAAAATAATTGTCGGACGTTGCCCATTATCAATACTATACCAGTTTACCTTCTGTTTTAGATATTATAATGGTGAATACAAATTTAGCAAATTTGAAATAAAGCCAAGAAGTAGATGATTATCAGTTGTTGATTATGATGCTTTAAAATGTAAGATAGAGGAGGAGCCAATTTTGCAGTAGTTGAAGAACTCGGATCGTGGGAAAGATAAGCTGAAAAAATTATACACAATTGGAGTTAAGGTCTGCAAAAAAAGAAAACAATGAAAATACATTAGATACAACCTAACACATGTATTTTTTTTCTATTTTTCATGAAGGAAGACCATGGACAATTCAACTGGGATGCTGAAATTGTTGGCTTGATCCTTGGAGCTGTTTTCTATGGTTATATGTTTGCTCAGCTACCAGCTTGTTTGTTTATTGAGAAATTTGGCCCAAAACATGTATTTGGTTGTGGGATTTTCTTTTCTGCAGTTTTGACATTTCTGACCCCACTTGCAGCCAGCTATGACTTCAAGGCTCTTATTGCCTTGAGGGCACTGGAAGGACTTTTTATGGTAAGTTTCTGTAAATCAAATCTCTGGTTACTATATGGGCAGTGAAATAGTTATTAGTGTAGAAGATAGAATTGGTAAGTTAAATTCTAATTCTAGCTTGCATTCATTTTTACATCCCTTCTCTATAGCTATATATTAAATAACAGAATAAACTTGGCTGTTTAATCTTTGGTGGCAGTCAGTCTAGTAGAAAGGCTATTCCAAAATCAAGACCATGGCAGCAACAAGAAACCACTCCATTTCATATAAGTCATGGCAGTTCACTGATAATAAAGGAAAGGAATTTATAGAGAGCAATGATCACCAGTATCCAGAAGTGACTCAGCAAAAAAATAAAATTGAGTTACTTATTAATTTCATGATGCATTTTAGTTGTAGTAATATTTTAAATTTGGAAATGATTGCTTATGCACCATAGTTGTTTACTATTACTTTGGACTTATGGCTCCAATTGAACTGTCTTAGTAGTTTTTCTAAATTTTTTTTAACACTTTCACTGCTGCATTATCATAACATTGTTGCCTGGCTGTGCTGGCCCATTTTGGAAACATAGGAAATTGCTATTTATTGGAAATAAATCTGTACAAAGATGCGGACTGTGATTTGTCATGGACACTGCCATTTGGTTTTGATTAACAAAACAGACAAAGCTAAAGAACACCAACACCCAATAAACTCAGAATACAAGTTGTACTGTATGATACTATATGCCGATGTTGATCTGAAAATAGCACTTAGTGCTAGTTAGTTTATAAATGTTAAGGACTGATATTTGATGGTGCTTTAAAAATGTGTACATGTTGACAGTAGGTAATATAAGTTTTGTAAAGTCCTATAAGTATTTCCAAACCAGTTGAAATGCTAATTTTAATATTTTTCAAGCAATCCTCAATTTTTTTTTTAAGTGGGAATCTTCTAAAACAGTTGTCGTCTTGACTTTCATTATTATGTCATTTCACAAGCAGTACTCATTACTTCGTTTTTGATGAAACACTTCTTAAGCAACATGCAGTTCTTTCTTTAGCAAGGACTCTTTTCAAATATTCCTCATCTTGTCTCTTGTAATGGTGGTCTTACCATAAACAAAAAAAAATTGAGAGACAAAACAACAATTGGAGAAAAGACATGGTTGAGATAAATAAAAGGGTTTTTATTTCATCTGATCTACAAAGTTTGATTGTTTGCTCATATCATATATCAGTTGTGGGAGATCGAGTGTTCGTTTGAAATGTAACACAAGTAGAGGGGGTTTATTTTCTGCAAAAATGAAAAAACAGAATGGCCTACTTGAAATGGGAATTGCAATTTTGAAATGAAATTTTTTTCTAACAGATTTACCAACTGCTATTTTAATTTGTTACTATGTTTGCCTTTCCTAACTTACTCGTCTGACAGACATCAAAGGATAAAGTTGGTAATGTTTTAATACACCCCACTTACCTACTGTCTCCCTAAAATTTACAGTATTTAAGAACCAAGTTTTACAAAGTTGACTTGATTTAATAAAAAAATAAAGGTGGTGGTAGTTAGTGGGTGGGGGTTGACAAAAAATTTTATCTTTTTGTTTTATCCTTTCTTTTTCCTATCACACATGGTGACGGGGGTAGGGGGCACTTAGTCATTTCAGAAAACCAAATTTTACAAATTAGACTTTTTAAAAAAAAATGTTATTTAATAGTTTCAATAAAGTGACCAAAAGATAATGTAGCTTTTTGTCTCTTAGATGACTTTGTGGTGCTACTTTTCTGTAGGTTTTGCCATTTTCACTTAATTCTTATTTAGGATTGTAGAATTCTTTGCAAAGAGTTGTACTGGAAACTCCTCAATTTAGATTAAGGGCTGAAGTATGAAACCCTATGAAGCTGGAGCAACTTATCCAATTGGTGGATATTCCAGCGAGTAAAATTTTTCATTTACCTTTTATTTTCTTGTTTTAATAACATTTTCAGTAAGTATTATAAGGAAACCAAAAACAGAAATCTATAATGAGAATGGAAAAAAAAGAATTTCCTAAAACCTGAAATGGAATTAAGGAAAATTTGAAACGGAAAATATGAAATGGAAAATTGGTTCCTCTACACAAGTGTGTTGAGATAGATTCGTGGAGAAAATCAATATGCATATGTAGCTTATTGAGATAGAATTGTGGGAGAAATATTCCACAAATTATCACATTGTTATTAGTTGAGAGTAACTCTCTGTTGCTGCTGGTTTTGTTGCTGCCTGAAGGCATTACTGTTGATAGCAGTGCCTTGGTGATGTTGCTAATGGTCTGGTTAAGCTTGCCTGTTGTGGGGTCCATCGCTAATGCCAGCTCAGATCTGTTTTCATGGATGGACATGGTGTTGGCTTTATAGACAGTTAGTGGCTTAAAAATGGCTGCTGTGAAAGCTGTGTTAGCCTTTTTCTGATTGGTCAGAAAATGTTTTATAACCCTGGTATTTTTGCATGGCATTCCAGAAGTGAGTAACTGGAGCTAAACAAGCTTAAGGTTTGTTTTGTCATATGAGCTGTGGATATTGATTTGAACACTTGTGTTTGAGTTAAAGAATTGAAATTCTCAAAGGGTGCAGCACTCTTATAATCAGAACACTTCTCAACAGTAATCATTGCTTCTTTTTTAATGGTACACTTCTTAAGCGGTATGTATTTCTTCTTTTAATTGAGACCCTTCTCAAGTAGTCCCTATTTTGTCTCTTATGATTAGAACACTTCTCAGCAATACTTATTGCTTCTTTTTTTAAGGAAACATTTCTTTAAGCAACATTTTCTCTTTTATTTAGGTGCCTTTTTAAGCAGCAGTCATCTCCTCTCTTTTAACTGAACTTCATCTCAATAATTTTGATTTTTCCTCTACCTTTAGTTAGATCTCAACAATTTTTTCCTCACCTCCTTTGTCCCTGCAATACTTGTTTTAAGATGATTATTTTTTTTTTATAAAAAGGAACATTACTTATTAACTCTTTGGATACTTATCATTTTTTGACAGGGTGTGGATGCTGCTGCTATTCATTCAATTTGGGGAAACTGGGCCCCTAAATGGGAAAGAAGCAAGCTTGTTTCTTGCAGTTATTCAGGTGTGTAAATCCGGCAAAAAATAAGAGATCATGAATTTCAAACACTTAAAAATGTTCTTGTCTTCATTTTAAATTTTAAAAAAATTATGTAAAAATTTTGGCTGATTTCTTGTCAATCTTCAAGGTTTGTACCCCCCAAAACAATCCGGAATCATTGATTTATTTCATGTCAATTATTGTATCTCATGCAGATTCAAGAATACAAATATCAAAATTTGATAAAAAAAGGAAGATAACAATGTTAATTAAAAAAAATAATTGTTAATTTTTTACATATTAACCCCTTCTGCTTGTAACTGATGAATATTGCAAAACTTCTCGACTTAGAATTAACACTATCATAAAAATGTGTTTCTTTTTTAACTGGGTCCAAATGCACTGTCAGTCTTGCTAATCAACACTCAGCAGAAAACTTATCTTTCAATTTTTTGTCGTCTAAATTATGCAAACATGAAAATAACACTGACATCTCAATTTAACAGATAAATTTACCAAAATTACAAAAAAATATCTTGAAAAACTAAAGAGTAAATTTATTCAGTAAAATTGCCATTGGCTTCAACCATGACTAACAGTTGACTTTGGAATCTCCTGCAACTCTTCCGAATGGTCTCCTTGTTTAAGTTGATGAATGCTAACATAATCCTTGCCTTCAGTTCATCTTTAGTGTTACATGGAATTTTGTTGGTCTCTCACTTAACTGTGCCCCATGCATAATAATGAAGGGGGTTGCAGTCTGGGGAGTTAGGTGGCCAAATGTAAGGGGTAATGTGGTTGTGAAATTGTCTGACAGCTATGACTGGGTTCTCCTGCTTGTGTGACATGGTGCAGAGCCCTGTTGCTAGACATAGGGTTTTCCAGCAGCCACCCTCTTGACCCAGGGCAGCACTACCTCCACAAGGCACGTGATGTCAGCTTCCATGTTAAGTCTGAGGCCCTGTGGGAAGATGAATGGGTGGCATAATGTCGCCATCACTAGTGATCACTCCGAACACTATGATGTTGACTGGCTCTTTCTGAAACCTCTGCACTATCCTCAGATTGACACCCAAATATGCTGAGATATTTGCATTAGAGCTTCTTGTGTGAATGCCAAGCAGTACAGCATAATGTTTCCAAATTTCTATATATTTCTCAGTCCTGGAAGCATGAGGATTGATGGTAAGGCTAGATAAGGCGTCCCTAATACTCCCCTCCAAAATTGAGTCCTTCCATGGCCTAGAAAAGCCAACCATGATGTATGCCAATGGCATAAGTGCGGTATTCTCAGCCCCCTATGACGCAGATGTTGGGCAATGAACTCTTTACAGACCTAAAAAAAAAAATATATATGTATATATATATATATATATATATATATATATATATATATATATAAATAGAGACAATTTACCCATCGCATCCTGTATGATCTAATGAGGTAGTATTAGAAAGTTCTTGGACGAGTACCCCCTGGCAGACTCAAAAACTCATTCCCATCATCTGAGGGAGCTGAAGGGTTGTGTATCGATGGTCCACATAGATAAGTTCACAAAATCTTTTCCAAGTTTCTAGCATTTTGATGTTATAGAATGTGGAGGCTGGACCAGGATGGAAAGCGATTGGCCAGAATATCTTGTAGATACAGACTTCTAACAGTGCTGTATTACCTTTGTCTAAATTTTGGATATTAAGACCAAAACAGAGTCTGTCTATATTTCTGAGATGAGGTATTATGTACATTATTTACATTATTCGGACTATTGTCCTCATCTTTGTCGCCATATTTATCACAACGTTTCTTGTTCCACGTGCCATGTTTGATGAATGTCAGTTATCAATTATTTCTTGTTAAAGAGTGTGAGTTCAATACCCGGTTAAGGCAGTGGAGAACTTTCAGAGGGGAATTAACAGGAGATAACTGATAACTGACATCCATTAAACATGGCACGTGGAACATGAACAGTCTACCACAGTGAGCGAAATAAAGGGTTCAGTTCGACATTCCAACCACCTGAAGAAGGCCGGAACGTACAACGGCTGAAATGTGATAAATATGGTGACAAAGATGAGGACAATAGTCCGAATAATGTAAATAATGTATAAAGACCAAAACAATGTGAAGTTGGCAGAGGGCTACAGGTGTTTCAAAGCATCAACACACTTTCTGTACCCAAATTCCTTACAAAGGCTAGGCCACACATGGCAGAATGCTAAACCAATGAGTGGTCATGTGTTCTTCCTCCCTCTACCTCTTAGTATTGATGCCATCCCATCTGTCACTTCATGGCTCTCCTCAACTTTCTATCCTGCAAGAATGTCTCACTTTTTACTTTCCCTTCCACTGCTTGTTTAACCATATAAATCTCATTCTGACTCAAAAACAATGTTTCTTATTTTCACAATTGCTCTTATTGCATTATAATGATCTAATTATAATGATCTAATTATAATGATCTAATATATAGTTTAATTATTTTTTCAGTAAATATCGGCAGAAAAACAGTTTTGAAAGATTAATAATACCTGATGAGTATTTTTTTTCATCATTTCACCCCAAGCAAGGCAATAAAGCTACTAAGATGTAAGGGGTTACTGAAAGTGAAAGAAAAAAAAATTAAGGAGAGAGGACAATAAAAGGACAGGATGACAAATTATATTGCATTTAAATTTTGAAAGATTAAAATTGACAGGAAAAAACGAAGTCAGAAGAGTTCCAATAGTGGGAAGTGAGAGAGAAGAAACTGTCACCTATGGTTACACCTAGTAATTTCAAATGTGAAATGATGAGACCTAGCAGCCAATCTAGTACTGTACTTAAATTCGTAAAGTTAAGGTACCAAAGAGAAAAGCACATCAGAACAATTATGAAAATATTTACAGAGAAGGCACAGGGAATGTTATGGGAAAGTGACTGAAGCTGAGATGCCAGGTCAGGACCAATAACATTGCAGATTCTTCTTTGTATTTTATCAAGGATCTCTAAATATATAGCAGGAGCACTTAACTAGATGTGGCAACAATATTTGCAGCAAGGATGAATGGTAGACTTATAAAAGTATGTAAGATAGATTGTTGCGAGAAAAATTTTCTAGCCTGACATAGTGAACTAATTTTCCCAGATGCAGATATTGCAATTAATAGTTTCTTTTCTTGCAATTCTTGCCTGTGGAACTTCCTTCTGGTTTCTTGCTTCACTGCCACTTACATTCTTCAAAAATTTAAATGCGATGCCAATCACCATTTGTTTTTCTGAACTCTGTTCTTTAATTGCCCTTTCTCATCATTAAAGTCTTTTCATTCTCTTTCACTCCTGGAATCCCTTGTGGCTTAGTGGGATTATTGCCTTGCTTCAAGTGAAATGATTTAAAAAAAAAAAAAAAGCTATTATTTTTACAAGGGCTAAAATGATTCATTTTTTTTTCCTACTTTTATATTTGTTTATTTTAGAGTCTGACCACTAGTCTATCCTTTGTTGACAAGGACCTTTTCTTTCAGCAACCAACACAATTAAAATGGTAATGGTCGAGTAAAATAATTAGAGTTTGTAGCTTCTTCAGGCATTTATATATTCATCTTTCTAATTGTTCAGGGGTAAATCTTGGTATGGTAACTGCACTTCCTATTTGTGGCTTACTAATTGAAAATGCTGGTTGGCCTTCGGTCTTTTATGTTCTCGGTAAGTGTCACATTCATTTATAATTTGATATTATCACAATTACCTTACAAAACTTATATTACAATTACCTTACAAAATCTTATATTTTACTTTAAAAAACTACAAAAATAACTCATTTTAAGGTGTTTTTTAAAGAAATGCGGGCTGGCTCCAAACTTTTTGCTGGTAGTGTACATGTCGGCTTGTTTAGTTGAAAAAATGTTTCTTGGTTTGAAGCTCAGTGCTGAAGCTAAGCACACAGTGATAAATCAAATGTGTCATAATTGGCGATGATGTGGAGTAAATTTGATTCACTTTAAGGCTGAAGAATGCAAAATAAATATATAAATGTGTTATATTCCGCTGCTAAGGGAATAAATAGAAGAAAGGTTTATTGTACAAAACCAGTATAATATGAAATACGGTACAGTTATACACACAGGTCAATCTAGTAGTGAGTGCCACTAATTGGAAGGTCGGACATGCTTGTGTCGTCTCGATCTCGCTCTTCCCCAAATCTCTCGTAGATAGCTGACTAATAGGTACTTACTACCTATAGTGTAATAATTCATGGGGGTGACTGGTTATTTCATTACATCAAAATGACTTACTATTTAGTGATTTCTGACTGATGTTTAAAAATCAGAAGAATCTAAAAATGATATGAATTAGTTATATTGGAGATGTTATACTCTTCAAATTACATTTTTTTATGATTAACTCCATATCAAAGCTTGCTAGCCAGGTGTGAATGCTATGAAAGCAAAATTAAAAATAAAAATGTTGCTCCTTGCACAGGGATGCTGAGCATTGTATTTGCCTCGCACAACAAATCCAAAGAAATCTAAAATAAAATTAAACGTCTAAGCCAATCACAAATGTTGCCACTAAAACAAAAGTATGACAGAAAATACTGTGTTATGTATTCACCTTGACTGCTTAAAAGGACCCACTCAGCAATATTCAAGACAGTAGGCAGGCAGTCACAGAGTATACTAGTGGCTTCCAAATCAACTGACTCATCACAAGCTTCAACGCAAGGACTGTGTACAACTAATTCCTGTTAGGTTCGTTATATTCACTTAATAACACTTAACCCTGGTTGATTCTGGGTCATTTCCCACACCGTTTGATACTGCTGCTGGTCAACATGGTGTTTCATGATCACAGCTGGTAAAGATTGAGTATCGTCATCAACTGTAGCATTGGTTTGGACCATGGTAAAGCTGTGTTATGAAGGAAAAATAAAAATATCCTTTGTAGACAAAATTAAAAACAAAAAATCAGTTCTCAATATGGTTTATGTAGTTCTTTGTATAACAAAATTAACCTGTCCCACTTCACTCTCTATGTTATAGTGAAACACACCTATTCTATAGTTAATAGACTCTCCCACCTAATATAAGTAGGAGTAGTAAGATAAGAGGGTCAGTCGATGTCGGATGACCGGCTGAACGGTTGAACTCTCTGCCTTTGGGCGGGGAGGAACCTGAACGAGGCTATGCTGAAGGGCAGAGTCTCGTTCGGGGAGGTAAACCGACCCTGAACCCATTTATACGGGTTCAAAGGGTATATTTTTGGCCGAGCCCACGGGCTCAGAGATCCCACGGGCTCAGAGATCCCACGTTAAACCAGTCTTGTGCCACATGATACCCTTGTGGTGGGGGTGACTAAATACTAGTCGATGTCGGACGACAGTAGTCGAATACAAAAGTAGTCAGCGACCAAAACTATATTACTCTGCGTAATACCTATTATACCAAGTTCGTAATGTTTTGTACGTCGAACCTATTTTAGGACTGATTTAGTACAAATACAAGCCTCCACTGCAAAATAACTCCACAACACTCTATAGTGACACTTTGCCTATTAGTGCTAATTTTGGAACAAGGCTCAAGTTGTGAGTTATCTTGGCAGCAAGTCACATGGATTTCAGTAGCATCTTTGTCTACTAGTCACCACTTCATGTCTCTCTCTGTCCATATGCCTGGATCGCTTAAATGCTCTGCTTATATTGATTTTGACGCAAAACTGGAGTGGGAACTGAGAATTTTTGGGAATTTGGGGGTGGGGTCACCAGATTTTTGTCTGTTCCAGTTCATATTCTAAATTAACCCTTTCCTTTTACCAGTGCCACATAGTGTCACAACTTATGCACAAATACTCTTGGAAAAGATCTGAATCCACATGTTCTCCCCCCCCCCAGCTATGGGTGAATTCATAAGGCCATTAAATCATTACTATCTACAAAAAAATTCTTACAATCTAAAAATATTTTCTGGCTTTAAATAACTTGCAAAGGGTTGATAAGCTGTAGAAAACGAACCAATCAGTTAAATACGAATTAGCTACACAGGCATGTCTTAGATTTATTTACATTATCTCAAATGTGAATGTATAGAAACTACTGTTGCCACAAAGTTAGTGATCAGTTTATATATTGATTGTAATATAGAATTGATCTCTCACTTTACATCAACATTGTAATTTCTTGCTTACCAAATTTTGATTAGGTATGAATCCATATCTTCTCTCCCCAGATATGGGTTAATTAGTAAAACTTATATCACTAAACCATTATTATCTCAAAGAAAATCTTATAATCTAAAAATATTTTCTGGCTTTAAATAACCTGCAAAGGGTTTCTAAGCCATAGAAAATGAATCAAGACATTATACTGGCAATACAGATAATTGTATTTTAACAGATTTTGTTTCCTATTCTTTTTGCCTTACCAACAGTAAATTGTTGTTTTTGTTTGTTACTCTTGAAATCATACATGGTATATAACAGAAACTTTATCTTACACAAATTGTTCAATTTCAAGAAAAAGTCAATGCATATTTGGAAAGGTTAATTTGTGATCTGAGGTTAAGTTCTGAACTTGTCTGAAGAAACAGATTCATACTGTTGGGAAAGGCATGTTTTTTTTTCTCCCAGTTATGGGATAAATAACAGGGTAGATTAAGCTTCTCTAGCATTGGGTGGCAGCCAGTCTAGGAAGACAATTCTGAATTTCCTTCCATGAAGAATCTATTGTCTTTCCCAAGGAGTTATGATAGTTCAGTGAATACAGAAAAGGAATGTTGAGAGATCTCTGATCAAATATGTACTGAATGAACACAGCATTTAAGAAAATCTTTGATGTTTAGGTTTTTATTTTGTTGTCATTTTTTCTTTTGGGTTCTACCTGGTAGCAAAAGGGTTTTGTGCCTGTTTTAAACCAGGTAAAATCTAGGATTGTGAATATTCATATTCAAGACAATCTTGGAGGCTGAACTTCTCTGTTTGAAAGATTGACACAGTTTGATCTGTGCCACTGTTTAGTCTTTCGTCCTTACACCAATGATTCATTTGCATTTCAGAGACACTTTGGTCTTCCACCAGAATTTCCTTTGGCCTCATTCTGACTGGGCATGGATTGCAATCTTTACGGGTCTCTGGTCTCTCATTATACCAGAGTCATCCAAGTTGTACTCTACTCATCCCAGGATGCTGCTGCTTTAAGCAGAGTAAATATCAGTATTAAATATTTCTTATTTTGATTTTCTCTACAGGTGGGTTCACTTGTGTCTGGTGGATTGGTTGGTTGTTTTTGACATCCAATACTCCTGCTGATCACCCTTTTATTTCGAATGAAGAGCGACAATACATAGAAGAATCTATAGAATTAACAGTAAAGGTAAGTTCTGCTGCAACTCATTTAATGATATTCAATCTCATGTTATTTCTATACTAGTCTAGTAAGTAATTTCCAAAAATCCTGTTTGCTGGCGCCTGCTCTGGTACACTTGTATTTTTTCAATACTCACAGATGCCTGTGGTTTATGCTGCAACTATGTTGAGAAAACCTTATACTTTCTGAGAGAGAGCACATTATCAGTGGTTGAACAAGGCCAGTATTTTCAAATCCCTCAGTCATGATGACTTGTGACTTCATCCTAACACAACCATCAAAATTTTATGAACAGTTTCAATTCACTTTTTTCAACTGTATGGTTTTCAGGCACTTCACAATATTGCTGCACACTGATGAATTAAAAATGGTAAGATTTGAACGCTAACATTCTAACCACTTATTCTCATCTACACTAGTATGTGTGCATACATGTGAGTGTTCTGTAGGATTGTAAAAGCATCACATCTACTGTAGCCATAGTAACTGTAATAATGCTTCCGTCTAGAAATGTCTGCCTGCATCCCTGCTTGCATGCGCCATCCCCCACTCTCATCTTTTTTACAGTATGTCTTTTGCAAGTGTTTGTTCTTAATAAAGGAGTTCTGTTCATAAAGTCTTCTTGTGTGGTTGTATCTCAGGGTTAAATTGTTTCAATGTTTTAGATATTCAGTAAATTTCCTATGTCTGTAATAACTTTCAAATAGTATGGCATTATTCACAAATCTAATAAAACAAAAACAGAGATAAAGTGTCAGAGCTTGATTCAACTGCAAGTGCAAATACATGAACACCTCCCTCCCCCTCTTCACACATTTACTGTAAAGCTGGGGTTAATAATAGATTCTTTGGGAATTTTTCCCTTTTAATACTTCAATAATCCTTCTCAAACAATCTTTGGATCAAAGGTTGAATGCCAATTTAGGATGAAATCATATGAAGTAAGTATTGGCTAAATGGCAGAAGTCTATTTTGGATCTAGTTTGTTGCAGATTTCATCCACTTAATTGAAATAATCTAAACTAAACATTCATGCAAGATAATTTGTGTGTCATATGTAATTTACATGGCAAATTTGGAAAGCATCGGATGAAAATCCAGGGATTTATTGCCGAAAAACTGGCTTTTTGAACAGTTTTTTGTTATATGCAGGGAAGAAGGCAGGACTAAAACCACACTATCTTATTTCTTGCATGATGGTAAATTTTTTGCGACATGTTTGAAGAAAATTGGATAAAAAATGAGGAATTTATTCAAGTTTTTATTTTAAGTAGTACAAAAAACCCAATTTTTTCAGTATTTTGTAACTTTTTGTGTGAAACCAATATCGTAGGAAAACTATCAAGCTCTTGACATAAACCTTGTAACATGAGCTATGTTTTGCATTAAGTGCAAAGAACATCAGCTCATCCAGTAAAAATTTTGTTCACATGTAACTTTGCCTTGGTTTTTACAAAAAGTCATACTCACCTTCAGTTTTATTGACTTTTCTGCTAAACCGGGGTGGTGGTGGCTGGAGATTAAAAAGTTGGTCTTGACCTATTTGCTAAATTTGCAACCTGTGTACAATTGCATGAAAAATTGGTTGAGAAATGTGGATGTTCATAAATAGCACACACACACACACACACACACACATCTTGTTTTATAGATATAGATTTCATATTAGAATTATTGTTTTTTGTGTATATTTTTGCTTTTGTAGCCATTAAAAACACCTTGGAAGAAGATTTTGACATCTCGTCCATTTTTGGCAACCATAAACACTCACTTCTGTCTTAACTGGGGCTTCTATACACTTCTCACCTGCCTCCCACTCTACATGAAAGAAGTCTTGCGATTTGATATTCAACAGGTGAGTTCTAACATTTAAAAGTCCTTCTTAAGGAATGTTTTCCATTTTTTTGATTTTTCAAGAATCAGTAAAAGAAGAAAATGGCACATTCTCATTTCTCAAAGAATTGAACCCTTTTCCTTAAAACTCGCATCTAATTTTACCTTGGATAAAGTATTTTCCATCCTCGTCACTCATGGCACCATGGAATTTATAGGTTGCATTTTAGGGTATTGTAGCTGTGTGCATGTTCACTATTAAAAAAGAAGTGTACAAAAACTTGGGTTTCTATCATGTACTGTTTACAAGGGTCTTCCAAAAAAGTTCTAAGCCTCACCCAAAAGGTGTTGGAGAAACAAGACAGTTTTTCACTATTTTTCAATATAGTCCCTCTTGATATCAATACATTTGGTCCAATGATGCTTATTCATTGCAATCCCATTATGGAATAAAGTGGCATCTTGTTCCTCCAAAACCTTCTCCACAGCACATATAATCCAATCATTGTTTCCAAAATGGCAACCATGCAGCTGGAATTTGAATTTAGGAATCAGGAAGAAGTCAGTGAGGAAGGGAATGGGCTAGCAATTCAAAGCCAGAGTTGGATGCTTAAGGTACTTGAGAAGTGTGTACAGGCACATTATCCTGGAGCAAGAGCCCACCTACCCTCAGCTTTTCTCTGTATTTCGACTTTATTGCTTTGTTCAGTTGTCTTAATTCTGATGTGTAGTTGTTGTAACCTAGGGACGGTTACTGAATAGAATAATCAAACGAAGGCTGGTAATGAACGATAATACTTAGGACATGAACAACACACATAAGATTCACCAGTGGTGCATAGAAGAAGTAGTCAACTGCTGAGTCAAGTGAATTCTACAATAAATCTCCAACTGCAGACCAACATACAGTATTTACTACTGTATTTATGTGAATAGGGACATACCCATTATGTTGGAATGCATCACGAAAAAATAAATGACTTCGTCTCTTTCTCTCCTGCTGTCGTAGCGACTGACACAGTCTCCACTTCTGAGACTGAAAACTGCCCTCCTTCTCATTCCAGCCCTTTACATAGAGCTTGGTAACTCACCTATGCAAAACACCAACAAGCCAGCTACCAATCACAGTTCCTGCGCATGCCCACCTCCACTCGCTTTGGGGGTTTCAAGTTGACCGACCAACTCATTACAGTCTGTAGGTATGCTACAACAATAGTACTGTCCATTAATAGTTTTTCCTTTTACCAGGTAGTCTATCATTATTACGCCTTCAGAAGCCATCACCTTGCCAACAGATGTTGACTGCTTGAACTTCTTCGAGGGTGGAGAAGCAAAGTGTTTCCACTGTTTGCTATGAACCTTTGATTGAAGTTTGAAGTGGTGAATCCAGGTTTCATCTTGAGTTACTAACCTGCAGTGTAAATTCTTAGAGTCAGCCTGGAAGTGAGTCATAAGTATCATGAAAATGTCAACCCTTTTCAGCTTTTCTGCATTCTTGGGACCGATCTTGCAAATAGCTTCCTCATCCTCAAGATCTTAGTTAAAACAGTATGGATCGAACCAGAACTAATACCTATGGACTTAGCTATCTGCTTGACAGTAAGACGTCTGTCATCCAAAACCATATGGTGAATAGCATTTTGTTCATCAGTGGTTGATGTTTTTGGGCAACCTGACCAAGGGTCACCTTCTGTGCTGTCTCTGTTACACTTGTATTCCACAGCCAACTTATTTACAGTCCTCAGCAAGTATCTGTACCATGTCCTCATAGATTTCTTTCTTTTCTTTGATAGATACTTTATGACTACTTGGTGTCTCATTTTTTATTATTCATTATTATTTTTTTTTATTGATTTTATTTAATTTTCCCACAGCACAATGATGGAGAAGTGCAAGTGGGCTTTAACCCATACCACCTTTTCCTGAAACTAAGAACTAAACAAAAGACTAAATTTATCTTCTTGGCCTCAACCTAAGACAATGCAGTTGAATTGAGCAGTGTCATTTTTTTTTTTTTTTTTTAATCATTTCACTCCAAGAAAGGCAATAAAGCCGCAAAGACATAAGGGGTTACTGAGTATGAAATAATATGAGGAAAAAAGAGAGAGACAACAATAAAAGAATGGAAATATAGAATACGGATGATAATGATTGACATTGCATTTAAATTTTTGAAGATAAAAGTTGGCTGGAAAGCAAGAAGCTGGAAGAGAGTTCGATAAGTGAGGGAAGAAATTGTTAGCATAGAACTTACAGTTACATCTCGCAAATTCATCTGTAAAATGATGAGACCTAGCTGCCAATCTAATACTTACATTTGTAAAGTCAAGGTACTAAAGAGGAAAACTCATCAGATGAATTACCATGAAAGAGAAAAGCACAGGGAAGTTACATTGTGGTAATGGAAAAGTGACTGAAGTCAAGATGCCATGTCAGGACTGATAACATTGCAGATTCTTCATTGGATTTTATCAAGAGTCTATAAATACTTAGCAGAAGCCCCAGACCAAATGTGGCAGCAATATTCAATGCATGGATGAATGGTAGACTTATAAATGTGTAAGATAGATTCTGGTGAGAAAAATTGTCTACCATGATATAGTGAATCAAGCCTAGCAATTTATCGAGTATATCTTTCCACTTCATGTCAGTGGAAAATGTTAGCTCTAGAAGGTGCAGTGAGTCACTGTTGTGGAGGTTAGCATCAGCCATGTTAATGGAAGGCAAAAAAGACTCTTTAAGATGAATAAAAGAGAACAGTTTCATTTTGGAGGTATTAATGCCATTGTCTAAAATCATTACTGTCATGAAATAAATACCAGTCTGTTGAAGTCAATTGGAGAGAATTCTAGTGACATCATAGTGACTAACTTAAGTAAGATATAATATTATAACCATAAATAGTGACTTATGACAGAACCTTACAGCTCCCTCTCAAATAGACCACTAAAAAGCATCAATATTTCATTCACAGTGTTATTTCAAATGAGATTGAATAAAGTAGGAGGGTTGGTTTGAGGGTGGGATCAATGGTTCAATCCTATGACAAGTGCATACTATATGAGAAAACAAAAATATTTTAATATTCTTATTTTATTTGTGGTTACGGTAATATTGTTACCAATTCTACAACATTGTTAAATAAAATTGTAAATTTTGATGTTTTTAAAATTTAAATGTCCATTTTAAGTCATTTTTCTTTCTCTTTCTTTTGTTCAGAATTCGTTACTGTCGGCTCTCCCATACATTGTTCAGTGGTTTGTAGCTATCATGGCATCTTTTATAGCAGATTTCCTTCGAGAGAAAAAATATCTTAGTACCACAGCAACACGAAAACTAATGACCGCCTTCGGTAAGAAATTTAGATATTTTTATTCTGTTGGATAAAAATGCAACCACAAAAATTGCTAGTTCAACTAATTTAACCCAATATCTTAAGTTTTCCTAATACTTATTGTTGTCAAATGTTACATACATATGACAATAAGCATTCCAGAACTTATATACATACATACAAACATACATGCATGCATACATTATTGTTAGGGTAATTTACCCATGCACGCATGGATTCTCCCAGCTATAAATAGGAGCAGGTACTGCCTTTTGCAGAGGGAAGTTTCCAGTAGTCAGCTCTGACAGTCGGACTGAACATTCTTGCTGTAACACTCTCATTTGTATATGTTTGTATTGCTGTTTCTGTTAATATATTTAAATCAATTCCTCTCTTTGTGTCTTTATTTCTGGCCCTAGCAAGCCCACAACAATTATATACATCCATTACACACACACACACACACACACACACACATGACTATAAGCATAACATAGACAGTTCCAGAACTTATATACATACATACAAATGTACATAGATATATACATTACATACACACACATACAACTATAAGTATAACATAGACAGTTCCAGAACTTACATACATACATACAAACATACATACATATACATGCATATATACATAGATATATGCATATATACATTAGGTACACACACACATCCACATATATACATATATGTATGCCAAAATTTTCAGCCTTTTGTGCATAATGTTAGGGAAATCCTAGAAGAGTCTTCAATATTTACTCAGCTCTTTATTGTTTATGAGAGAAGCTGCTCCAGTAGAACTTACATCTCACCAATGGATTATGAAGGCAATGATGGTGGTTCACTACAATGGGCGTGGCATGGTAGGTCTTAGCTGTGAAATTTAGAACTGGTGAAACTAAGGAATGCAGTTTTTCTGAACACTTTTCATGGAAATAGCAATAGAGCAGTGAGAGACTTGAAACGTTTTGTCTCTGAGACCAAGATGCCTAGGCTCACAGTGTAGTATCTGTTCCAGCAGCAGTAGCCACATCTGGCCTGCAGTTCCAGCTTCAGCCATTAGCAGTGGCTCCAGTAGGCTTTCTGCTCCAGCCAACTATCCTTGCCCAAGCTTTGGTAATCTTACTTTACATTTTACATGTGGAATGCAGCCGACAGGGCAGCTTCCAACACTGTCAGGAGCCAACCACTGGGATTTCTAACACCTCCCTATCCATTCCAGGCCTCCCTCATCATCATCACCATGACCCCATTGATATAATATTCAACCAGAATCCAACAGAGATATTCTTCTTGATCAACCTTCACTATCTACTCTAGATTTTCCTTGTTGTTGTCACAGTGACCCTGTCTTATTGATACTACATTCGATCAGAATCCGACAGAGACATTCCATTCAATCACCTTCACTATCTATCCTGGAACTATCCTCAGACCCCAATTGTGATCTCGGCCAACCAATCCAAGAAATTGGTCAACTCAAGCCCTATTAACAACACACCTAATCACTTTCCTGACCAGTAACAACACTTTCTATTCACTACAAAACCATCCTTTTGAGGATAACATTTTTTATCACCTAAAATACTGTCCTTTTCAGGACAACTCTACAATTCTCTTCACACTCTACATGAACATGCAGAGATTTCTTTTACTTAATGAACTGTAACTATATTTTGTCAATGTATTTTCTTTAACAAAAATAAACTTGGCAATATATATTTTTTACTAAAGTCTTTTTGTTTGTTGTTGTCTTCTGTCATTAAATATCTGTTTTTGTGGTGGTTACTTTTAAAATAAGCTGAGTTAACTTGTGTTTCTAATAAGAAGAATCTAATTTCAAAATTTATTAGTGCTGAGCTTTGAAATAGTTAAAGGAAGAAAGAAAGAAACAGAATTATAACATGACTGAAGTGTTCTGATAGAACTGTTTACTGATTTGAAGTATCTAGCTATTTTTTAAAACTGTTTACTACTCTGGAATTGCCAGATTATATGATTTTAGAGAGAACTAACAATGTAAAATTTTGAATTTTATCACTTGTGATTTTGTCAGGTTTACTTTTAAAATATAATATTAGAATGGAATTATACAAATCTTGTTGAAGACAAACATCTATCAAGTTATTCTGAATGCTTTTAGACATATAAAAATATACCTGTTATTTTAATTCAGTTTCCTTCTGTTTTTCCACCTCACTACCCTCAGTTCCCATATTAGTTTGCTTTCATATTGGTAACTTTCACTTCAGTTGTAATGTTTTGCTAATGCTCTATAAAATGCCAACCTTTACTGATGCTTTTTTTGCCACAGACATTTTATACTGGCACATGTCCAATGACACACATTTGATTGTATTTTCTTCCAGGTAGTCTATTGCCAGCTTTGTTCCTTGTCATTATTAACTACATTGGCTGTGACAAGTACATTGCAGTGATCATGATTGTCTTGTCTGTTGGCACCTCATCATTTGCTTCTTCTGGATTCTTCATTGGAATAATGGAAATGTCACCAAAGCTCTCTGGTATGGTGTTATTAATCTCTCTTTTTATTGTGTTATCTAATTAATAGGCCTGGGAACATAAGAAACAAAATGGCTATCTTAAAAGAAAGACAAATGACAGAGAAGTATTTTCAGTTGGAATGATGTGTGAAATATTCAGCTAGATTTGAGAAATGGTGTTTAACTTGAAATGGGAAAAATATGCATTTTTTTTTTTTTTGCTTAATCATTCCAAGCAAGACAATAATGCCATTAAGACATGATGGGCTACTGGGATTGAAAGAGAATGAGACAATTTTAGAAGGAATTGGAAAAACCAATCCTAAACAGGAAACAAGGGATAAACCTCTACTCCTGTTCAAAAACCTGGAAGGAGTGTGATCCAGGCTCTATAAATTTATTAATTTAAAACAAAATTATTTTGTTTACGATATGGAAATAAGGTTAGAAGACATGGACTTTGAAAGATTTTAAGAAGAGATGTGCTTTCCTTCATAATAGTAATTGAGCTTTGCTTTGTTCTGAATCTTTGTGACAGAGTCACTCTAAAACATGCCTGCCTATATAGTGGTTTCCCCTAAACACCACCAAGTAGGAGCTTATGAAGCTTTATTAGACTTGTTCAACTTTAGCACTGTAAAACATTGTTTATTGTAATGAATAGTTACAATTGAATTGATATGCAGTGTGCGATGGATAAATTGTCGTCTAAATTATGCAAAAATCAAAATAACACTAACATCTCGATTTAACAGATAAATTTACCAAAAATTACATAAAAAATATCTTGAAATACTAAAGAATAAATATATTCAGTAAAATTGCCATTGGCTTCAACCATGAACCCCAGATGACTTTGGAATCTCCTGCAACTCTTCCGAATGGTCTCCTTGGTTGATGAATGCTACCATAATCCTTGCCTTCAGTTCATCTTTAGTGTTACATGGGATTTTGTTGGTCTCTCACTTAACTGTGCCCCATGCATAATAATCAAGGGGGTTGCAGTTAGGTGGCCAAATGTAAGTGGTAATGTGATCGTGAAATTGTCTGACAGCTATGACTGGGTTCTCCTGCTTGTGTGACATGGTGCAGAGTCCTGTTGCCAGACATAGGGTTTTCCAGCAGCCACCCTCTTGACCCAGGGCAGCACTACCTCCACAAGGCACTTGATGTCAGCTTCCATGTTGAGTCTGAGGCCCTGTGGGAAAATTAATAGAGGCATAACATCGCCATCACTAGTGATCACTCCAAAAACTATAATGTTGACTGGATATATCATCCAGCTCTTTCTGAATCCTCTGTACTGTTCTCAGATTGACAACCAAACACTCTGAAATGTTTGTATTGGAGCTACCAGTGTGAATGCCAAGCAATACAGCATGGCTGTTTCCAAAGCAGAGTGAATTGCGTCATGGTGCTCCTTTTCTCACAGACCGTGCCCAACTGACCTTACTATACTGTGCAGTCGACAAAATCAAAAGCTTACAACATGCATACATAAAATTAAAAATATAAAATGGTGACAATTTACCCATCACTTCCCGTATGCTTTAACATTGAAGGTAGTATTGGAAAGTTCCTGTACTAGGATCTTCTGACAAACTCAAAAATTCATTCCAGTCATGTGAGGAATCTTAAAGATTGTCTATTGATGGTCTTTTCCCAGTTTTTAACCTTCTGCTGTGTTATAGAGTGTGTAGGCTGGACCAGAATGGTGAGCAATTGGTCAGGATATCTTGTAAGTATAGAATTCTGACATTGATGTATTGCCTTTGTCAAAATTTTGACATTGTAGAGAGGGCCACAAAGTAAATGTCCTATTGACGAAGTGAATTTAGGTTAAACGTTAAACAAAAATGAATTCATATAAAAATGGTACAAGTGGATTGAGAGGAAAAATGGCATGACTAACTTGTTTGCAAAAAACATGTTAACTTTTTAAACTCTAAAAATCAGAAAATTCTAAGACTTTATTGGAAATATTTGGAAATTATTCAGTAATAAATTAAACTGTTTTTAAAGATTTTTTGTTTTGTAGAAATATTTTAAGTCTCATTGAATTAAAATAAACATATGTACACACAAATGTACATACACATGAATTAAATTTAAATAGAAATCTGTATTGCAAAGGTTAAGTTTCCTTTCTGTCTGTCAACAACATCTGGGTAACAGGAAAAAATATAAACATAAACTGAAATGTGCTGCTGTTTGAAGTTCGTTTTTACGATTCCTTCAGTATTTAAATTGAATATATATATTTCATAATAAATGTAATTTTTCAAATGGACAAACAATTTAGATTGTTGATTCCTGTTAGAGAAGCAATGGTTACCAAAGTAAGTAAGATAATGTTCTCAAAATTCAGACTAGACAATTTTGTATTAATTAGCGGTTTGAAATTCTGACAACTTGTTTATTTCAGGAACTCTAATGGGAATTAGCAACAGCATTGGAACCATTTCAGGTATTTTGGGACCATACATTGTTGGAATAATTACAAAAGAGAAGGTAGGTTTTATCATTTGATGAATTGTTAACAGCAATATGGTATTTTGAGGTTAATATAATAAGCATTGCTGGGTTGGGACCTATGTCATTTCTTATCTTCATTAACCATTTTCTTGATGAACATCATTTCCCAACTAGGTATTTATGCTGATGACACAGGTACTTATTCCTATTTAGTAGCAAGTTCGGCAGGTCCAACAAAGTAAAACCAGTAACTGCTCTTGAAAAGGACCTCCAATCAATGATTACCTGGGGCAAAGAATGGCTAGTAAATTTTAATGATTCCAAAACAAAACTGCTTTCATTTAATCATATCTATTCTAACAGTTTCTTTTCTTGCTTGTGGAACTTCCAATTTCTTGCTTCCCTGTCACCTACAATCGTCAAAAATTTAAATGCAGCACCAATCGCCATCTTTTGTCTTCCTGATACCTGCTCATTTATTGTCCTTTCTTCTCATGAAAGTCTTCTTATTCTCTTTCAATCCCAGTAAACTCTTGTGTCTTAGTGGCATTATTGCCTTGCTTGGGGTGAAATAATTAATAAAAACAAGAGTAGAGTTTTGCTTGATACATTCATGAACTATTGAAAGCAAGTTTAATTTTTGATGGCTGCTCCATTAATGTAACCTTGTGGTTTGGTTTGGTTTGTTTTACAGCATATCAACCTCAATGGGTTATTTAATGCTGACAACTTTTTTTTTTTTTCCTGGTAATATTTTTGTTTTGTCAAAAATCTATTTCTGTTAATATATTTTTCCTCAAAAATGTATCGCTGTTAATATTATTTTTTCAAAAACGTATAGCTGGTAATATTATTTATTTATTTTTTTTTTTCAAAAATATAGCTGGTAATATTTTTCAAAAATGTATAGCTGGTAATATTAATCAGAAAATATACTCCGGGTTTAATTTAGGTCAGTGAATTGTTAGCAAATTATGCATCGAAAAATGATTCATATTTATCTGTATCTCACTCATTTAAACCGTTATTTAACTTCTCTTTTTAAAACATCTCTCTGTTAAAGTTTAATCCCCACCTTCATCTTTAGGCCTTCCTGTTATTCTTTCTTCTGTTACACCCTCTCTCTAGAGCTTTCATACATTTCCTTCTCACACTTGTCTCCCACTCCCACTCCCACACATACACTCTCACTAAAATTTTGTTTTTTATACCTGGAGTTATATTTTCTGATTTCTTTTTGAATTTGTAGGTCTGATGAATTGGATCATGATTACGATTCCAATGTAATAAATTATAACCATTGAATATTAATGTTTGAGCCTTTTTTGCAGTTAAAAGTAATTTAATTTTTGCAATGCCAATTATATTTTGTGCATTGACAAATGGAGAATGAAATGAGAATTATCACACAATTGATATGTGAATTTGTTGCTTCTTTCAAAAGATTTAAAGCTTAAATAGAAGACTGCACAGTGTTCTATTTCAACCAAGTATATGAAAAATGAAGATTTAAAGAAAAGTTTGAATACAATAAATCTCTTTAGAAAAAAAAAACTCATGAAGTGATATTTGAAGCAAACAAATTAAATGAAAATTGTTTTAACCTTTAGCACTCTGCAATATTCATAAGTATATAAAATATAATTGGCATTCCAAATATATAAATTCATGAATCATTCATACAATAAAACAAATAGTGAGGTTAATGATTTAAATGGCGAGAATACATCTTCGCAAACAATATCAAAAAGATTATTATTACCGAGAAGTAAAAACAAGAACAAATCTATTTTTATACCCGATGATGTCTGTAGGAACAGACGAAAGCTTGTAAAAAAATTAAAAAGACCTTATGCAACTGGAATTTATAAACAGGGATCATTTCATTCATATACAGGTTTGGGGTTGGTGTATCTTTTTGATATTGTTTGCGAAGATGTATTCTCGCCATTTAAATCATTAACCTCTCTATTTGTTTTATTGTATGAATGATTCATGAATTTATAAATTATAATTGCTTCTATAATTTGAAATATATATTTCTGTATTTAGGCAGCTAATTCTCTTTTAAGCATGTCTGCTTATTTTTATCATAATCCTTTCATATTCATGAATATTTTTCCGTATATTACAAATGAATAAAGCAAGAAATGTGTGTAACAGTGAGAATCACAATTATTTTGCAAGTACTTTCCATCTCTTTCTGAGATCATCAGCAGGGGTGCAACTGGTAAGGCAAAAAAACTATGTGTAGTTATCCATTACTGAATTTTTTCTTTTTGCATTTAAATGCTATGGCTGATAGGCTTTAGCATGCATGAGAACATGATAAATTATCCATTATGGAATTTTTTTCTTTTATGTTGGAATGTCATGGTTGAGTGCACATGAAAATGTGAAAACTATTCTTTTTATAGGCATTTTAGAACATTATTAAAGTATTTGTAGCCGATTCTATTCAGTGTCGGCTTCAATTTTTTAATGAAGATTATTCAAGCATCTGTAGTTTTAATTTATTTTCTTAGTGTAGGATAGTTGTGTTATCAATTAGTATTTTTCTATACTGTGAATGGACAAATGGTCAGAGAATTATAATTTGCACCTTTAATTGAAATTAAATAACTGATCCAATGTGTAACTTTCGAATAATAAGTGTGACATTACTGTAATTATTGAACAATATAGTTCATGCCACATAGATGGAAAATCTACCAGTAAAAAAGAATTCTCTTTTGTACAAAAATGCACAACCTTAAAATTTAAATTCAAACTCAGCGTTGCAACCGCATGTTCCAAAATAATAACACATTTCTCATAGCATTTTTCGGATTACATCTCTATTTTCGTTGTCCTCTTATTACCGAGAAGTAAAAACAAGAACAAAATCTATTTCCATAGCTGAGGATGTCTGTAAGAACAGACGAAAGCTTGTAAAAATTAAAAGACCTTATGCAACTGGAATTTATGAACAGGGATCATATCATTCATATACAGGTTTGGGGTTGATGTATCTTTTTGATATTGTTTGTGAAGATGTATTCTCGCCATTTAAATCATTAACCTCTATATTTGTTTTTTGTATGAATGATTCATGAATTTATATATATATATATATATTTGTGTATTTAGGCAGCAAGGCATGTCTGAATGAATAAATTACAGACATTAATATCTGTAATTTATTCAATCAGACATGCCTGAAATATATATGTGTGTGTGTAAAATATTGAATTTCTTCTTTTTTTTTTTTTTTTTTTTTTTTATTTTTTTTAGGGGACTCGTCAAGAGTGGAAGATTGTATTTTTCATCTCAGCCACCATTTATGTGCTTGGATGCGCTAGTTACATTATTTTTGGTTCAGCTGAAGTTCAACCTTGGGATGAAAGAGATATCAAGACATGTGATGACGAACAAATACTGAAACCAAAAATACACAAAAGACAAAAAGAGGCTCATTTATCCGAACTGAATACTGTTGAGTTTACGTAGACCCGTACAGACAACTTCCTTGTCTATTTCATCACCAAATCCATCTTTTAAGCAAGGCATGTATATAGACAAGCAAGAAGTTGAGACTTTTAAATACTGGAATATTCAATAACTTATGTTATTCTTTATTTTTATTTTACATTTATTTTCACTAGTACAGACCTTTACGGTTAGGACTCGCCATCCCATGGACACAAGATCAAATCATCCTCATTCCCTTCTGTATTTCATTGGTAAGGAGAAAGTTCGAAAGTTTTACACAGACAGCTTCCTTCCATAAATGTCTCCTTTGTGGAACATATTCCTGAGAGGATGCTTCCCCAATCACTACAATCTTAACCTCTTCTAGTCTAACGTTAACTGTTACCTGTCTTACATATCCTCATAATCTGTACTTCTCTCACACTATCCTTGTTAAGTAACCCCCCCTACCTTGAGTGACTCTTGGGCCTTGTAGTGGGTGAACATTTAATAGAAAAAACTCAACTTTCAAATTTTGCTCCATACTTTATTCTTTTATAAAAAGAAAAGTAAAAGACAAACAAACAGAGCATAGTGATTTAGTGACATAGTTTAGATGTGGCACAAGGCCATAAGTATGGGGCTCCTGGTGAGAATCAAACTCATTACTCAGTCGCAATTGATCTAACGAGAGAAGCTTGCTGACCATTATACCACACTGAAGTGCCCAAATGATTTTTTAGCATAGCATAGATATAGCATAGCAAAGTCATGGAGCACCCAGTGAGGATCGAACTCACTACTCAGTCGTAATTGATCGATTGGAACAAATTTGTTAACCCACCGTGTCAAAGTTCCCTCAGAAATCAAAGAACATGTATATTTTTCAGTGCACCCATGTCACTACTAAATGTGGCACAAGGTTAGTTTAAAGTGGGTTTAACAGCTTTAATATTGTAGAAAAATTGCTCAAGCCCCCTCCAATTTTTGGGATACCTCATGCACCAGTCAATAAACCTAACCCTCTCCTGAAAGAGAGGTACAGCCTGAAGGAGATGGCACCTTGGAGATTGAGCTTAATACCTTTTTAAATTTTCCTGGCAAAAGTGTCAGGGAAGTATATATGGTGATTTTTTAGATGTGGCACAAGGCTGAAATCATGGGGCACCCAGTGAGAGATGAACTCACTATTCAGTTGTAATTGATCTGGCAAGACAAGCTTGCTAACCGTTACATCATGTCAAAGTGCCCAAGAAATCAAAGAAAATGCCATAGAAATGTTTTTTGGTTCATAATATATTCTGAAGTTTGCTTTTAAATAAAGTTTTCTGAAATTTGTATAAAATCACAAAAACATTTCATGACAGCCTGTATCTGAAAGCCTTAATGTGCTATGATTAAAAGTTGTGAGAGTATGGGTTGGGTGAGTGAGTGAGTGAGAGAAGGAAAAGTGAATGAGGGTGAGAGAGTGAGTGAGAGAGAGAAGGAAAAGTGAATGAGGGGTGAGAGGAGGAGCGTGGAGAGAGAGAACGTGGAGTAGTGTGTGAGAGAGAGAGAGAAACGTGAATGAGGGTGAGTGAGTGTGTGAGAGAAAAGTGAGTGAGGATGAGTGAGTGTGAGAGAAAAGTGAATGAGGATGAGTGAGTGTGAGAGAAAAGTGAATGACGGTGAGTGAGTGTGTGAGAGAGAAAAGTGAGTGTGTGAGAGAGAAAAGTGAATGAGTGTGTGAGAGAGAGAAAAGTGAATGAGGGTGAGTGAGTGTGTGAGAGAAGGAAAAGTGAATGAGGGTGAGAGAGTGAGTGAGGGTGTGAGAGAGAGAAACGTGTGAGTGAGTGTGTGAGAGAGAGAGAAAGGTGAGTGAGTGTGTGAGAGAGAGAAAAATGAATGAGAGTGAGTGTGTGAGAGAGAAAAGTGAATGAGGGTGAGAGAGAGAAGAGTGAGTGAGGGTGAGTGAGTGTGAGAGAGAGAAAAGTGAGTGAGGGTGAGTGAATGTGTCAGAAAAGTATGAGACAAGAAGAGTGAGTGAGTTAGTGAGACTGAGTGAGTGAATGGGTGAGAAAGAGTTAGTGAGAGAGAGAGGGGGTGAATGAGAGAGAGAGAGAGAGAAAAAAAGATGGCGGATTCATTCTAATTCTTTACATTTTTTAATTATCAATTTCTTCTTTTGCTTTTTTCTTCATCACCATGGTGTCCTACATACCAAACCCAACATACGGTAAAACATTTTCTAATTGAATCCATAAATCTTGTCTCAAAAAAAACACAATTTCTTCAAGGCAAACAGCCTAAAAGAACTATTTGAAAATATTAAAATAAGTAGAATTATAACATTCCTGAAATCAGTTGATTGTCCATTTTCTTTAAATACAGGCCCAAATAAATCAGTTTTGACATAAAATGACTCAAGTGCTGATATGCTGTTAAAATCCACTTTTTTCTTCATTGTCTACATTGTTAAATTCTCACCTGGTCTAGATTTTGTTGTGTACACCTTGTTTGCTTCTTTAAAAAAAAGATTGAAATAAAATTCTATGAAAAAAGTGCACCAATCAATCAGGGCTTAACTAGCTGTCTATGACGGTGGATCAATAAATCTATAGCAGCTTTATCTCATTAGTTGAGATCAAAGCTGAAATTTTTGCTGTATAATATTCACTCATTGTGATTAAGAAACAAGTTGGATTAAATGCATTGACAAGGAAAAGGATTATATTGAAAAATAAATATTGCGCAAAAGAAATGCTTTGGAGCCAAAGAGTTTTTTTTTTTTTTTTTTTTTTTTAAAGCAATTCACCCCAAGCAAGGTGAGAGTGCCACTAGCATGCAAGGTGTTACAGAAGATTGAGAACATGAGTAAAGAGGCGTGTTTGAGGAAAGGATACTGAGAAGGTTGGGGAACAAGATCAGATGTCGATTGACATTACACTTGAATATTTGAAGATTATAGTTATTGGGGAAGCGGGGAAGGGAGTTCCACAGATGGGAAGTGTGGGAGAAGAAGCTGTTTGAGTAGAAGAGACGATTACATTTAACTGTTTTGACAGTGAAAGGGTAGAACCAAGATGCCAGCCTGGTAGCTCGCTTAAATTCATGCAGTCTGGGGAAAAAAACATAAAAGCAAAGAACTATGTAAATTTATGTAATTCAACATTATTGATTTTTATCCATTTATCATGTAGAAAGTATTGAAAGTGCATTGAATCTAGCTAGCTAACTAGTTTTAATATATAATGAGAAAAGAAACTGAAATTGTTACACATACCCAGAAATTGTCACTGTACCATAAGAGAGACATATAGAAAAAAAAAGTTGGATCTTAATTTTGACATCATGATGGGAGCATATGACTCAGCAGAAGTCAGTAAATTGGTAGCGGGGTAAACCTATTATGACAGATGAGCAACCTCTTTGATATTCATAGTACAAGCCTGTATAGAGATGATGTCATTATGGTTCTAAAACCACTACAATCTTAAACCTGTTCAAGTCTAGGGTTGACTATTATCTTCTCCATATATCCCATAAACTGTGTCTTCCACTCTGTAGGCTTATGGAACACCTGTTTGCATGTGATCACCGGTTAAGCAACGTCAAGCCTGGTCAGTATCTAGATGAGTGACTGCTTGGGAATACCAGAACCTTTAAGCTTGGATTTGTGGTGGTGTAATGGATAACAGCTCAGAATTGAAAATCAGAGAGCTGTGTTCCAATTCCAGTTGGGTTTGTTATATTCACTTATGTGAAAATACCTCTTGGAAAGACTTCACCTCTTCTCCCCCAGCTATGTGTTAATTAGTATAACTTGTATCAGTAAATCATTATCTCAAAAACAATCTTACAACCTAAAAATATTTTCTAGTTTTAAATAAACTGCAAATTGTTGATAAGCTGCAAAAAACAAAACCAATCAATGAATCTTACTCTATAACCCTCTACCTTGAGTGGTTCTTGGGCCCTGTACAGGGTGAACATTATTGTAAAAAGCAAAAATGAAAAAAAGGCCCAAAGTTAATTGATATTAAAAGGAAAGAACTGTGCAGGTTTTTCAAGAACCATGATTTTTTAAAAATTACCCTAAACAGCAATGCAACAGGGTTGAACATTTTGCATGTCATCCGGAAGGTAGACATTTTGGATGACATGTTTAATTATAGGAGTAGATAGGCTAACCTATTGTTTTTTATGAACTCCTTTCATGTCTATTAAACAGGAGTAGAGGTTTGTCCCTTGTTCCCTGATCAGGATATGGTTTACTAGATTTTCTGTCTTTCTTCTACCAGAACCACAATGATTTAACTGTCCCTACTTTTTGGTGATTTGACTACCCAGTGGCTGTGACTTTCTATTGTGAGGGGGACTGAGTTGGCAGTTTGCTGGCTGCTGTTTCTGATTGGTTGTTAGGGGCCTCTTTGGTAGCACTTAGAGAGGATGCTCCAATCAACAGTCACATAATATTGGGATATCTGTAGTGCAATGTCGTGCATGGTTAGGTGTGCCTGCATGTATTTCTGGTGGGCAACCCTGAGGCCACATTATGCTCTACTCTCAGCCATGCACTGGCTGGTTTGTATTGCCATTGATGACAGTGACATTTATGGTGGTCTTTTTTTTTTCTCTCTTGTCAAAACATATCTCATGGAAATCACAACAAAAAGAAATAAAACTAAACCAGCCAAAAAACCAAAAAAACAACACCTACCCCACTTAATCTTTCTTTTCTACTGGAAGGATTGCCTGATATCTTTTCCTTTTGTGAAACCAACTTGAATTCTTCCATTGCTACCAATAAATTCTTGGTTTCTGGGTATCTTACCCTTTGCTGAAAAGATTCCACTATTCACATGCATGGCCTTTGTGTTTAAATCCAATATAATCTGATGGTCAGTGAATTGTCTCTTGAGGCTGCTGACTACTTTCTCATGTGCTTCTGTCTTTCACTTCTAAACTCTGCCAGCAATCTCTTTTTCTTTTATTGTTCCCCATCTTCTCAGGACTGTAGTATATTAAACACAATAGCTGACAGTATGAAAAAGAAACTT